ATGAGCCCCTAATAAAATGATTAAAAAAAAAAAGAATGAGGAGAAATGTTCCTTAGGGTTTCCAAGACTGCAAATCTTTATGGGAGCAGACAGTCTCATCTTTCTCCCACACAGTGGCTGGTGGGTTTGAGCCTCTGGCCTTGCAGCTAACAGTCCAACAGTCTAATCCCTAGCCCACATAGTCACCAGGGTTCTTTGTATGGAGGTATAGACAATGCAGTTACTACAACCTGGTGATGAGTACACATCTGGTTCCAAATAATATTCTATTTTTGTATCTTGGAAAGGTCCTGAATATACTTTTTTACATGGATACATTTTACATTCTTACTACAAAACTTTTTAACCATTCTAAAAAATCCAAAGCTTCCTTTAAACATCCCTCACTAAAACCATTCCCCCCTTCCTTCTCAGAAGTAATCGTTATTATAAACTTTACATTTACTCTCCAACTTATTTCACAAATTTCAGAAAAAGATGAGGCTTTCTACTGCTGCAAAGATGTGCTGCCTGGAAACCCACTGGGTAGTGCTATTCTGTGCTGCAGGGCTGGGATGAGTTGGGATGGACTCAACAGCAGTTAGTTTAGGTTTGGAGTTCATGGTTGCATATTTACATAAATACCTAATATTTATCAATAAAGGAAAGAATAAACAAATTGACAGAGATTCATAAAATGGAGAGCATGCTGCAATTAAGGAAAATAGCTATTTCTCTATGATTTTCAGTCTTCATTTAACACTCACGTAGCATTACTTGTATTTTTAACAAAAAAAGTATGATTCTGCACATATTACTCTGTAACTTACGTTTCACCTTTTTTAAACCACTGCATTACATCCATAAATTACATTATTGCTCATTAAACCTTCAATTTTTCCTATAGACACATATATAAGGATACATCAAAAAGTTCGTGGAAAAAGGGAATTAAGAGAAAATGGAATTTTTAAAGTCCCTTTATATGTCCATCTATTAAAAAAGAAAGGCAATACTACCCATCTGCCTTTTAAGTCTTTTAACTCACACTTGGCTAAATTTTTCATGGTGTTAAACCTATCAACCTTTTCCCTTAAGGCTTTTTTCTTCTGGCTTTATTTAGAAAGGCCTTCTCTTTCCTAAAAATCAAACAAATATTTATCCACATTTCTTTAGAGATTTGACCTTTCCAGTCTTTCCGGAAGTCTTTTGTTACAGAGTCGAGAGAGGATCTGGCTTTTTTCCTCACTTGGGCTTTAAAAAATTATCCAGCATCATCCTTTCCTGACCCACGTGAGTGGTTCCCTTTCTCACATAGTTCTTAAGTCTGCTTCAATGGCTGCACATGTATATCTGTTAGAACTTAGCTATTTACACACTTTGCCTTTATCCCCAATTTATTCTATTCTGCTCTTTAATTTCATACATAGGTATCTTAACTAAAGTTAAAAAAAGATTCCCAAATTAATTTAGGCACCCAAAACTTAAGTTTAGCTTCCACAAACCTTAAAAGTAATTATCAACTAAAAGCTAAAATCTATCATGCTGGAAAGCTACTTACTTCCACAGTAGTTGCAGCCTTTTGGGTCATTTTTCCAACAAGGTCAACCTGTTCATATCTGGATTTCATGTATTTTTTTGCAACTTTGTATACCCACTGTGGGCAAGTTGCAGAAAAAAGTAAAGTCTGAGGATTGTCTTCAGAATCTTAAATAAACAAAAAGAATTCAAACACTTTCTTATTATCCCACGATGTAGCCACCTCTTTAAAATGCCCCTAAATTTCAAAGAAATAATGAAAAATCAAAACCTTGGGGTGCATTTTGAACATGTAGATTTCATTGGAATTATTAAAGATCTCAACTTCAAAATTAGGGGATAAAATAAAGAAAACTGAACCAGGAGGAAGGTCAGAATTTAAGAAGGAATAATGAGCAAAGAAGTCAGTAAAGTGAGTCAATAAATCTAGCTAATGGCTATAAAAAGGATAATGCATGGGGGAAAGCAGAGAAAGCTCAAAACACAGCTAAAATATGCTATCATCCTTTCTTGTTCACTAAGAAAACAGACAGTAAATAATATTAGTTTTGTTAGAAACACTAGAAGACAATGTAATTAAAATTACATAGTAAAATCTCCAACTTTTAGATCAGTGAAAAACTACTAATATGTTTATTCTGAATGGATATACCAGTTTTGTAGGATTCATGGATAATATCTTCAACTTGTTCAGCAAAACCTAAATCTAACATTTGATCCACTTCATCAAGGACAACATGACGCAGTTTTGAAAGATCCAATCGGCCGCTCTGCAGATGGTCTTTGATTCGACCAGGGGTCCCAACCAAGATGTCAATACCATTTCGAATATGACTAACTGTGAGGAGAGAAATGTACATCATAAGTAAAAATCAAATCAACATGTTTTATTACCTCTTTATATTTAAGAAGCAAATACATCTCTGAGCTGGTCTCATACGTATTTACTCACTTTGGCTTTGATATGACGTTCCACCATAAAAACATGCCACACTGAGTTTCCTAGTTATATCTTTGAAGTCTTTGGCTACTTGGTTTGCCAGTTCCCTTGTTGGAGCCAAAACAAGTACCTGAACAAGAGATTTTTCAAAAAGAAGGTAATTTTCCAGATGTCAGAATTGAAACTGAGAAAACATTTTAAAAGTGCCTTTAACTAGGAAAACTCAACATCAATGATGTTTAACAGTTTAAAGACAAAGCTCAAATACAAGTAACAAGCACAATAAATAGATGCCACTGAGTAATTCTGATTCATGGAGATCCATGTGTATCAGAGCAGAACAGTGTTCTACAGGCTCTCGGTGGCTTTTTGGAAACAGTATGCCAAGGTTTCCTTTCAAGGCATCTCTGGCTGGACTTGAACCTTCAACCATTTAGTTATCAATCGTGCATGTTAACTGTATGCACTAGCCAATAACATATTTATTACATGTTCCTTCATCTCCTTCAAGTCTCTTTCCAAGGCACTTTCTTTTTTTCTTTCTGCTTTTCTTTTTTTTCACATTTTATTAGGGGCTCATACAACTGTTATCCCAATCCATACACACATCAATTGTGTAAAGCGCATTTGTACATCGTTTCTCAAAATATTTTCTCTCCACTTAAACCCCCGACATTAGGTCCTCATTTTTCCTCTCCCTCCCCGCTCCCCCCTCCCTCATGAGCCCTTGATAGTTTATAAATGGGTATTTTGTTATATCTTGCCCTGTCCGACGTCTCCCTTCACCCACTTTTCGGTTGTCTGTCCCCCAGGGAGGAGGTCACACACAGTTCCATGTAATCGGTTCCCTCTTTCCTACCCATTCTCCCTTTACCCTCCCAAGGCACTTTCTCAGTGAGATTTCTATCCCTTTTTTCATATTCCCTCTACCCTTTTCGCTTAATTTTAATTATTTCTTTAATAATTCTTGCTTTCATTCAGCAAATATTGTCTTTGTGGTGGAAGCAAAGGAAGGAATAAAACCATTCTGTCAAGTGTGCCCAGCACTTGGCCAAAAGGATACACCTCACTTTGAGGTCACAAAGGTAGTGGAAGGTAAGTTCAACTGCCATCCCGTTGGACATACACAGAAGCAAAGGTCTGGGCATCAAGTGTGACATGAGACCAGGGCCCAGGAAGGGGAGGGGAACTGCATGAGTGACCCTCTTGACCATTGCAGCCACTGCCATAGGGCCAAGGCTCCTGGGGAAACAGATAGGATCACTCCCCTATTTTTTCACTTTAGTTTTTTCTCCTTAGCATTTATACCATCTAAAATATTTACATCTCATTTATTTGCTTGCTATATATCTTCCATCAACTAAAATATATAAACTCCACTAGGGAAGGGATTTATTTCCGTTTTGGTTAGTATATTCCTTGCACTTCAAAGTCTGACATGTAATAAGATACCAAAAATATTTGCTAAATGAATGAATGAATGAATGTTTACCCTGCAAACTAAGTGGTTTCCATGAATTATCTGATTTAATCTTCACAAAAACCCTAAAAGTTGGCATTATCCCAATTTTATGAATGAATAACCAGAGGGTTTTTTTCCCCTAGAGGCTGGAATTTAATTGCTTTTAGCAAGCATAATCAATAGCAACTGCTCATTAAAAATAAAAATTCCAAGAATAAGGCACACGCTTTACATGTCAGTGAATTTAGTGAAGAGGGTATCCAAATGGCCAGTGAGTATATGAGAGCATGTTCACCCTCATTAGTCATCAGGAAAATTAAAATTAAGATACAGAAATAAGAAGGGGCTTCAAAAAACTTCCTGGAAGAATGGAATGAAAAGATAATTGAGGTAGTGGGGAGAAGATGAGTCACTCAGGGTCCAGTGTAGCAATAATGAAACTCACAACCTTCCTCTGATTCTTAAATGCGGAGCGCCCCCAACTACCATGATCCCAATTCTACCTTGCAAGTCTGGCTAGACCAGAGGATGCACAGCGGTAGAGATGGGAACTGGAAACACAGGGAGTCCAGGACACATGAACCCCTCAGGACCAGCAGTGAGAGTGGCAACACCAGGAGGGAAGGAAGGATAGAAAGGGGGAACCAATCACAAGGATTTACATATAACGTCCTCCCTGGGGGATGGGCAACAGAAAAGTGGGTGAAGGGAGACGCCGGGCAGTGTAAGATAAGATAAAATAATAATTTATAAATTATTAAGGGTTCATGAGAGAGGGGGGAGCGGGGAGGGAGGGGAAAAATGAGGACCTAATGCCGGGGGCTTAAGTGGAGAGGAAATGTTTTGAGAATGATGAGGGCAATGAATGTACAAATGTGCTTTACACAACTGATGTTTGTATGGATTGTGATAAGAGTTGTATGAGCCCCTAATAAAACAATTAGAATAATAATAATTTATAAATTATTAAGGGTTCATGAGAGAGTGGGGAGCAGGGAGGGAGGAGGAGGGGGAAAGGAAAATGAGGAGCTGATTCCAGGAACCCAAGCGGAAAGTGAATTTTGAGAACGATGAGGGCAACAAATGTACAAGTGTGCTTTACACAATTGATGTATGTATGGATTGTGATAAGAGTTGTATGAGCCCCAATAAAATGATTTTTTTAAAAAGCCAATGATTAAAAAAATAAAATGTAAAAAAAAAAAAATAGTTGAATTTTTCCATGACTTTTTTTTAAAAGATCATTTTATTGGGGGGTCTCTTGCAGCTCTTAAAACCATCCATACAGCAACTATATCAAGCATCTTTGTACATATGTAGCCATCATTATTTTCTAGACATTTACTTTCTATTGAGCCCTTGGCATCATTTTCCCTCCCTCCTACCCACACCCTCATGACCCCTTGGTAAATTATAAATTATTTTCATATCTTACACCTACAGCTGTCTCCCATACCCCGCGGTTTCTGTTGTTTGAGGGGTGTGTGTGTGTGTGGTTATATGTCTATCATCGTGACCAGTCCCCCATTCTCCCCCTACCCTTTTCTGGTATTGCTACTTCCATTCCTGTTCCTGGATTCCGTGTGTCAGGGGCTCTTATCTCTTAGCTGTACCTGGGCACATGTCCCAGTCTAGCCCATAGTAAAGGTAGTACCTGGGGTCATGATAGTAGGGGGTGAGGAAGCCTCAAGGAATCAAAAGAGTATTGTGCGTTTCATCGGTGCTTTACTGCACACCGATTGACTCATCCCTTCCCCGTGACCCCTCTGAGGGGATATCCCATTGTCGACAGATGGCTTTGGGTCTCTGTCCAGAGCCCCCTTTTTCTCAACAATATGTTTTTTTATTTGTTTTGGGTTTCCAGAGTTTTAGAAATAAAGGATCTTGCTCAGAAGCAAGCAGAAATGGTGAGACTGGACACCTTGGTGATATCTTCCTAAGACAACAGCTTTTTAAGGTGGTGCTGGGATTCCATTGTGTTCTGCTTCTGTTATTTTTAATCTCTGCTAATTTCACAGCAGGAATAAAACTCTCCAAAAAGGATGTGTCCTAAAAACTAAGATGGTCAAAAAAAAATAAACTAAGATGGCCAGCCTAATCTGGAATGGCTTATCTAATCCATTATGATTTAATTACATTCATATCTGTGAATTTACTTTTATATTGTACAGTCATAACTTATGCAAGGCGGAAACCCATCAAATAAGGAAACTCCAAATATTTCCCACTAAAATAAGCAATAAAAAAATGGAAAGAGTACACTCTGCCAAGGCAGAAATCTTGCAAGATCCAGAAAAAGAAGGCTGTGCCACTGAGCTCCCATTCTCAGAAGCTTTGTTGTAATAACACTTGAAAATCTTTCAAAGAATAAGTTAGTTTTAGTCACATATCTATTCAAATCATAATGCTAATTTTTCCCTCTTGGAAAAATCATTTTATTGGGGCTCTTACAGCTCTTATAACAAACAATCCATGTATCAATTGCATGTCATATTTGTGCATTTGTTGCCATCATCATTTTCAAAGCATTTTCTTTCTACTTGAGCCCTTGGTATCAGTTCCTCTTTTTTCCCTCCCTCCCTAACCCTCCCACCCTCAGGAACATTTGCCTATCTTAACTAATATAAAGAGATGAATATTTTATAATCCTTGAAGTGCATACAAGTTCTAAAAGGATCAAATTTTAGGCTAGGCAAAGATGTCACAAGATCCCACACATTCCTTATTAATTATAAATGAATACATATATTCAACATCCTAAAATACAGAAGCCAGCTATTTAATTTCTATTAATGCTATTCTTAAAAGTCTGGCAGAGAAAATAATATTTGAATATTTATTAAATTTTGAACATTTACCAAGTAGCCAAATAAGTGAGTACCATTTTATAGCACTGCTTAAAAGTAAAGAGTTTTACTAAATAAATATTGAATATTTACTAAAGGACTAAATTAATAAATATTTATAACAAATTATTCACTGAAACAAGGAAAAAGAACAATATATTACTGTCCTAAACTAAGATATGTTGGCTTCAAAAAACATTTATGTATATGGGCCCACATACATTTGCAATAATTCAATTTAGCTTTGAGATTTCTTTATTCTAAAATTAAACTCTTACTCAAATTTTTACCTTATGCCAGCCCAAACATTAACTTTCTATGTTAGAGGCACTTAAACTTAAGACAACTACCTTCCCTCTAACCCAGTGGTTCTCAACATTTCTAATACCACGACCCTTTAATACAGTTCCTCACGTGGTGGTGACCCCCAACCATAAAATTATTTTCGTTGCTACTTCATCACTGTCATTTTGCTATTGTTATGACTTAGGCAACCCTTATAAAAGGGTCATTCAACCCCCACAGGGGTCGTGACCCACCAGTTGAGAACCACTGCTCTAACCTGTTAGGATAATGGTTACCTTTGGTGAGCGGCTTTTTTTAATTGTCTCTTGATTTCTTTGGAGTCTTTCAACCAAGGGGATGGCAAAAGAGAATGTCTTTCCTGTTCCTGTTCGTGCCTGAGCGATTAAATCTTTTCCTTCATATACAGGGTCAAAGGTCTTAACTTGGATGGGAAAGAGATATGTTACCCCTCGACCTGTAAAATGAAGTTTCATTAAGATATTTATTCAGACAACAATTATTTTTAAAAAACCATTTGCTTGAAAATAACAATTCTGACTCTTCAAGATCTACCTAAGGATATATCAATTAGTGGCATTTGCAGTTATTCCTATCTCAAAGGGAACCATAAAATCCTTGGTGTGAACATCTGACAAGTACATGTAAACCCCTAATGCTCAAAATGGGTCAGAATACTGACAAGGAAGATGTAGAAGTAAGTGTAATAAAACAAAAGCCATTTCTCCATGCTGTTTATATTTTCTATTGTTAGGTTATGAAATTTAGTTGAATATTTTCAATTATATAGCCATTAAAATTCAGAATACCTTTCAGAAGCTTAATAGTTTCTTCAGAAATAGGGAAATTGGAGAAGGCTCCTTCTTTCTGTTCACGTGTTAGGGCCTATAAAAATGAAACAAAAATTCTAAATACAGTCTATATTTGACCATGTATTTAAAATCTTTTATTAATTTCCTTTATATTTTAGTTTGTACTAGCAACTATTGTAAAGATTGACTTAGAGGTATTTCAAAATTATCCCTTTAAATACCAAGGTTAAACATTTTCAAAAAAAAAACATTTTCATATATCCTTTTTAATGTTTAATTCACACATAAAAATCCCGTTAGAAATAAGCCTAATGATTAAATCAAAATATATCTAATTGCTTAAGATAATTAAAAAAAAGCTAACCACAATTCCAGACAAAGATACCGTATATACTCGTGTATAAGCCAAGTTTTTCAGCACATTTTTAATGCAGTTTTTGTGGTAAAATTAGGTGCCTTGGCTAATATTCGGGTTTGCTTATACTCAAATATATATGGTAATAACAAATATAAGGGTAAGCACATGATATTCTATCACCCAGACCTAAAAGGAATTATACAATGAAGAAATTAAACATTTTCAAAAAAATCTGTTAAGAATTTTTTTATGGCTTTAACAAGCTTTTTGGTTTTAGGTCTCACTAATGCAGAGAAAAGTTCTGATATGTGGATATAGGTTGGCACGACATTGCCATTTAACATCTACTGAAAACTTTGAGTATTAGTCAGTGTGTTTCTAAAACAAAGACAATATATTATCTGTATCTGCCTGCTCATTAACATTTATTACTTATGTGCCAAAGGAAAAGTAGTCCCAGAATAACAGTAACATTTTGCAAACTGGGGACTAGATAAAAGACATAATATCAAAATTCAAATTCTAAGCTATTTAAACAAACCTCAATGCTACTTATTATATTTTTAATGTCAAAATAAGATATGCTTATCACAAATGTAATATATTTTCAAATTAGAAATTTTAGATACAGAAAATGCAATTTTTTAAATGTCTATAATTTAGTCAACTAAAACCACATTTAAAACACTCATCTAATCTTCTCTATGAACATAAAACTTTAAAAAAATAATTCTTTATATACAATTTTGTAATCTGCCTTTTTAATTTAGCAAAAGACACGGAATAGCTTTTTAACATTTTCCTATACATGCATGCACATAAGGTATTTTATTAAACTATCTACTGCCAGAAATCTACAGTAGATGCTTTACTTTTGGGGCTATAATCAACAAAGTCAGTACTTAGTCTGAATCTCTACACATTTGTGCTTATCACTTTAATATAGATTCGTAGGAAATTGCTAAAGCCTATATAATAATCTAGACAAAATGATTAACAGAGCATTATATATCAAGCAAAATCCCAATGGAGAAAGAAGCAACCTGTATTCTACTACTACTCATCTAGATTTGGAGAGCCTTATTGAATAGCTAAACTTTCTACTCGTCTGTTTCCTTACAAACATCAAACTCACAAAGAAAAAAACCGCCCCTTTGTAAGGCAGGTACTCAACAACTTTTCCAAATGCATTCAACAACGCTTAAATACATTTGAATGAACAATAATTATCCAATTTAAAGCCTAAAAAGAATAATTATCAAGAACACAAAAGTTGTTTTCTTTCTGAAGATCCAGGTAGTACACTGAAAACTCACAAGATGGAGATAAATTCTGCTATGGGAATATTACATTACGCCTTTTAACAAATTCTGTTTAAGAAAACATCTACTCTATAACAGGTAGGTAGGTACTAGGCACAAGCAACAAGTCCAGGACTGGAGTTTCTATTCTAGGTATATTTTCTACCTTCTAAAATACTTATTACCTAGGAGAATAGATTTCTTCAGATCATTTTTGTATGTTTCATTTATTTTAAAAAAGCAAACAGTTTTAACATGAGTCACAAGACTTTGGGAAGTTGCTATTGTCACAGAATAAGAAAAAGAAGAAAGGCTAAAACACCAGGTCATGGGAGTAATTACAGACCTGGTTCCCTGTTCCAAGAGTCACAGTTCAATTCATTGGGGGGGGGAGACGGATGGACACGACACACTGCATTAACCATAAGAAATCCAAGTAGGTGGCCACCAAAAAGCAATAGAAAACTATTTAGTATCCAAGAAATCCAGAAAAGGTTTAAATCTGCTCATCTTCCTAACCCAAAAAAGAGCAATACAGTAAATTTTTTTTTTTTTTTAATTAAAAGGCTCAGATTTCAGTTGTATACAAACTCTGGTCTGATTATTCCACACTGGGCAGGAAATATTACAGATTTAATTCTAATTAGCCTAAAAAATTAAATCAGCCTGAATCTTAAAAAGCATGTCAAGTGAAAAACAAAACTCATCCATACCTCATCTAGTTTAATATCACTTGATTTATGGGTGGAACTGTCTAAGGATGACACTCGCTTTGATTTTTTTTCGTATTCATCAATATTGCCATTAGGCAGATCTTTTCTTCTTGACTTATGAGATTTAGAGAATTCATCTGAAAGTTTATTAAAACCTTCTTCACTGTCTCCATTTAGCTTCTCTTTAATTTTTGATTTTTTGGCCCTTGGAGCATCCAGATCATCTGTCACACCATTTTCTCTTGTTTCTGATTTCTCATCGGAGTCATACTGGTACCTTGACTTCCTTCTATCATTCTGCAAAAAAAACACAAAAATCAGTGACAAGCCGGTCACCAGATCTCATTTTAAGACTTTAGAAGAGCTTGACTCCCAACCGGAAGAAAGCTAAACTGGTCCCTTAATGCTAAGCTGCAAATCTCACCTATCATTCTCCTCCCATTTCTTGCATTCTTAAGACCCAAACTCTTGGCCCTCCCTAATTCCATCATAGAGTAAAAGGATAGTAAAATATGACGGAACTTCAAAATGTTCACGGAATTTTCCCATGACCTTTTTGAAGCCCCCTAATAACATATTAGAAAAATAAGAAGCCCATATTTATAAATTTTAAAACAACCATAATTCACCATTTGCAAGAGAAAATATCATTATTTATTGAGTACCTACCCAGCATTGTGTAATGTGTTTTCGGCTTATCTTGTTTAAATCTTCACAACAACCCTATAAGGGACGTATAATTCCATAATCCCTTATCCGAAATGCCGATATCCAAAAAGCTCTGAAAACCGAAAGTTTTTTGTAACTTATTTGGAGATAAAACCTTATGTGACCTGAATTCATGGGGCAAAATCTGACTTGAATTAATGTCAAACTATTTATAGTCTTTATTTATCCCCATTAGTATGCATATTCAATATAAGGGTATTTAATTTCAGGTTGCAGCTCCAAACTCTTTCAGGGGTGTTACCTTTCTAAAAAAAGTCTCACAACTCTGAATTCCAAAACATTTCTAGTCCCCACGATTTTGGATAAGGGACAGTGAACCTGTATCACTTTCACTACTTCACAGATGAGGAAAGGAGAATTTCTTGGATGTAAGTCACTTGCCAGAGGTTCAGTAAAGCCCCAAATGGGGTTCCCTGCACATGGAAGAGCTAGAAACTCGAAGGCCCACCGTTTCACACCACACTCCTCCCCGGATTTCAGTAATTACAAGGCAAAAGAAAACCAATCAAAGCGAAACATAATTCAGAGAAAACTCCAAATGCTACCCTCCCATAGAAGCATGTTAATAATCCTGGCAATTAACCCTTTTGTTTTCTTTTCAAATTAGCTAACAAAATTTTCTTTTTTAAGCAAATGAATGTACTGTTAGTGTCAAAATGTCATAATCACTGGTGGCCATAGTTTTAATATTTGCAAACCACAAGAAATGATCTGGAAATTCAACACAAAGTCAGATTGACTTGATCAGATGTTCAAAAAGAAAACTGGACAGTAGTGATCAGTGGGAGTATCGCTGATCATGATTAAATAATCGACTACTGGCAAGAAGATGGCAGTTAGAACCCATCCAGAGCTGAAGTACCTCGGAAGGCAGGCCTAGTGATCTGCTTCTGAAAGTCTTAGGGGGCAGTTCTACTCTAACAGGGAGTCACTGTGAGTCAGAATCGACTCAATAGCAACAGCAGTAATTAGTGATAATAAGTACCAGCACCACACTAATTTTCACCACTAACACAATTTTTACAGAGCACTTTTATCGTTTTCTTGTTCATAAAATAGGAATTGCTATAAAAATTGACTAAATGTACATTTTGTAAAAGTAGAACTTTACATGAACTTAAGATACAGTTACAGGTAATATTATTTGATCTTTAGCTAACAAATCTAGTTCCACATGTCCCCAAACAAAAGGCTCTATAGAAAAACAAGGTTTATTTATAGTCAACCTTGGGGTTTGCATTGCTCCTGGGCCCTGCACTTCAGGGAGAAGATGAAGCAAGGCAAAGTCAGACCTCTCAGTCCAAGCCCAGCAACATCCCAAGGTGATGAAACACATTATTTCACATCAGTCCCACAATGCTTGATATTCTCCATTCCCTTGGTTTCATGGACATTTTATACAGTACCTGCTCCTCATCCTCTTACCTATCTCCCATCTTCAATGGTTCCTCTCCTTCCTCTTCCTGTGGAGATCCCTTAAAGCTCCTTCCTCTGGTTCCCATACCATTGCCTATCCCTTTCATGCCATCTCTTGGCTTCAATAAACATTTCCAGGTTCCCTTCCTCACCTTCACACATTCCTAGAACCTACAAACTGAACTGGCTCCCTGTGCCAACCCAAACCCAAACTGTTATCTTCCTCGAAAAGCCAGACCACCATACAAATGCACTATTTTTATTAGTTGGAACTCCAATCAATTTCCAATTTTTCATTGTTATTCATAGTTAAATGGCCAAATCAAGTATTTCGGGAGAAATCTACAGTATGAAAGTCACCAACTTGCAAGAATATATTGAAATATAAAGATGTGGTCATTTCCCTCAAAAACCCCCGACATCTGTGGACAGGAGAAAGTAAGGCAACTTTACAAGGAAGCACATCATAAAACTAACTGAAAGATAAAAACAGCCAGTAGAACAGAACTTCAAAAATAAAAAAAATAAAAAAGAACAGAACTTCAAATGGGAAGAAAACTGCTGTTCAAAAAAATGGACCTAGTTCTTGACTTACATGATCTGGATGCAAAAAGGGCAAAGCCATAAAAAAAAAAATAACTGGCTGGATGGCGAGTTTATCTTGGTGACAAGAGAGTAGGTTCTGTTCTGAGGTTGCTTGTTTTCCCAAAGGGCAACCTTCCAATATTTGGAGACCACTATTTGACTGTCCTCAGGTATATTCTCATTTTCTCGGGATCAAATGTCTCCAGTAATATGCACCTGTGCATTTTTTCCAGCACTTTGCAAAGGGTCCCCTAGCTGAACTCTATCTTTTGTTTCTACAACTCTACAGGCCTTTGAGGGCAAGTACCATTTCGAGTACTCTTAATGAGTTTAAACTCCTTCGTGCCAAGCAAAGAGCCTGGTACAAATCAGACTTAACAAATATGTGTTTGGAATAGTATGGAATAGTATGATGTATGGATTAGATCCTAAATCAATGGTTTAGAAAATATATACATGGGGAGGGTGAGAGAACACAATGGCAGTAAAGGCTATTAATAACACAACTCACACCATCTCCATCACAGTCCAACCCTGGCAACCGAGGGTACTTTTCTTTAGGCTCTCCATACTTAAACCTTAAGATCGCATTTTCCCAAGAAACTCACACCGGGCCAGGAGACAGAGAAGCAACACATACTCAAGGCAATTGTCTCAATGGAGCCAAATGACAAGCCTCGCTGCTTCAAGGAGGAGAGGAAAGCCCAGATTCCACCGCGGTGAGCGCCTCATGAAAGATTCAGGCGCCAACCGGAATGGTTGAGGGGCCGCCGGGGGCCGGGCCAAAGCCCAGGCCGCCCTTCTCCAGGTGGCAGGTGTGCAAGTGGAACCGGTCGGGGCTCAGCCTCAGAGAGAGCGAGCAGCTCTCGGATGCTCTGGCCAGGTAGTGACAGGCCATCAGCGACAGCGCCCTCCCGACCCGAGGCGGCGCAGTCAGAGAGGAGGCGCGGCCCAGCGCCGGCTCACCTTTTGCCTCTCCTTCCTCGGGCTCTCCGACTCCTCCAAGGGTGCCTCCAGCTCCATAATGTCCCCCCAGAGGAGTTTCCCAGGCATTACTCGCCGCCGCCGCCGCCGCCTTCAGGGCACGGGAGCCACAAGCACCCACGGACAGCGGCAGCGTGAAAGGAAGCGGGGGCAGGGCGGCCGGCCGGCCCGGGCTGTGCGTCACTTCCGGGACACGCACGGCGCCGCGGGGGAAGAATCCCGGTGACTTTCCGTTTGAGCGCTTCCCTGGTGCCGCAACCTCGCAGCCAATGAGAGTGCGAACTCCCGACCGGCACACCCTTGCTCTGAAGTGATTGGCTTCGACAGGAAAACGTTGGCCAATCGCCAGAACGTATGCGTGCGCTCATTAGCATAAACTTATTGGGCTTCTTGCTCTCCCCCACCCCATCAACCCCCGCCCCTGAAAATGTCTTGACCCAGAGGAAACGCCTCGGGGCTCCCTAGCTTCCGGTTGGCCAGGGAAGCCCCCCCCCAACAGTAGTGGAAGGGCCCGCACCCAGGCCGCTGGGAAACGCCAGGCGTAGCCCGGCCGGTGTCGGCCGGAAGCTGCGGGCCCGCGCCCCGCCCCTCGCGGGGTGAGGCGTTAACAACTAACGGCTGCGCACGAGGCCGCGGGCTGACCTTCCGGGAGGGGCTTCCTTCTCAAGGCTGAGTTGGGCCCACCAGCTGGAGGTGGAAGGCCAAGGGCAACTCACTTCCTCTGACGCTTAAGCTTCATTCATTCTAGACCCGCCTCACGCTCCCATTCGACTTAGTGAAATTAAACCCAATAAAGGAATGTACTTGTCAAAAGCCACCCAGTGGCACCGTTGGGATTTGAGGCAGTGCTTTCTCTGCCACCAACTAGATGACTTTCATAAAGCGTTTGGGGAAAGGTGTTCCCACTTAAGAAAATTAGTAGAAAAAAACCTAAAATAATCTGTTTCTGCTAGAGAACACGGTTCGTTGTCGCTTTCATTTATAGCGAATGTAAACGTTTCATTTTGCCGAGAATTAACTGCCGTTTTATCCGACTGCAACTTGCTGTTCAAAACGGAAAACCTGACAATACATTTTTTTGTTTGTTTTTTTGGTAGCTTT